AACAGAAAAAGAGAGCATACATACTGTGGAAGAAGGGCCAGACCACATGGGAAGAATATAGGCACGTTGTCAGAGAATGCAGGGATGCAATAAGGAAGGCGAAGGCCCATTTGGAATTAAAGTTAGCAAGGAATGTCAGGGGAAACAGGAAGGGCTTCTATAAATGTATCAGCAGCAAGAGAAAGACTAGGGAAAATGTTGGTCCACAACTGAACAGGGTGGGTGCCTTGGTGATGGAGGATACAAAGAAGGGAGAGTTTCTAAATGCCGCCTTTGCTTCTGTCTTTACTGCTAAGGCTGGTGCCCATGAACTACAGAGCCCAGACACAAGACAGAAAACTGGGAGAAAGGAAGATTTTCTGCTGGTCGAGAAGGACTGAGCTAGGGATTGTTTAGGCAAACTGGACACTCATAAATCTATGGGCCCGGAGGGAGTAAACCCAAGAGTGATGAGGGAACCAGCTTATTGCTCAGATGCTGTCCATCATCTTTGAGAGGTCATGGAGAGCAGGGGGAGGTGCCAGAGGACTGAGAGAAACCAGCGTCACTACAGTCTTCAAAAAGGGCAAGAGGGAAGAGCTGGGAAACTACAGGCTGCTCAGCCTCACCTCTGTCTGGAAAGGTGATGGAGCAGCTCGTCCTAGAGAGCATCTCTAGGCATGCAAAGGAAAAGAAGGAGATCAAGAGTAGTCAGCATGGCTTCACCAAGGAGAAGTCATGTTTGATGAACCTGACAGACTTCTCTGATGAGATGACTGGCTGGATGGACGATGGAAGAGACATGGATGTTGTCTACCTTTACTTTAGCAAGGCTTTTGACACTGTCTGCCGTAACATCCTATAGGGAAGCTCAGGAAACGTAGGTTAGATGAGTGGCCAGTGAGGTGGACTGGCTGAATGGCAGAGCTCAGAGAGTCCTGATAAATGGAGCCGAGTATTGCTGGAGGCCTGTGGCCAGTGGTGTCCCCCAGGGGTCAATACTAGGCCTGGTGCTGTTCAACTTGTTCATCAGTGACTTGGATGAGGAGACAGAGTGCACCCTGAGCAAGTTTGCAGATGATACCAAACTGGACGGAGTGGCCGACACTCCAGAGTGTCATGCTGCCATTCAGAGGGAGCTAGAGAAGTTGGAGAGTTGGGCAGAGAAGAACCTCCTAAGGTTCAACAAGGACAAGTGCAGGGTCCGTGTTGAAGAGGAATAACCGCAGGCATCAGGACAGATTAGGGGTTGACCTGCTGCAGAGCAGCTCAGCAGAGAGAGACCTGGGAGTCCTGGTTGACACCAAGTTAACCATGAGGCAGCAGTGCCCTCATGGCAAGAAGGCCAATGGGATCCTGGCTGCATCAGGAGGATGTTGCCAGCAGGTCAAGGGAGGGGATCCTGTCCCTCTCCTCAGCTCTGGTGAGGCCGCACCTGGAGCATTGGGTGCAGTTCTGAGCTGCCCAGGACAAGAGGGATGTGGAGCTTCTCGAGAGGGTCCAGCAGAGAGCAACAAAGATGATTAAGGGACTGGAGCATCTGTCCTACAAGGAGAGATTTAGTGAGTTGGGCCTGTTCAGCCTGGAGAAGAGAAAGTTGAGAGAGGATCTGATCAATGTACGTATAAATACCTGAAGGGTGAATGTAGAGAGGAAGGGGCCAAGCTCTTCACAGTGATGGCCAGTGACAGGACAAGGTGTAATGGGTATAAATTGAAATATAGGAAGTTCCATCTGCATGTGAGGAGGAACTTCTTCACTGTGAGAGTGACAGAGCCCTGGCACAGGCTGCCCAGGGAGGCTGTGGAGTCTCCGTCTCTGGAGGTCTTCAAAGACTCCTGGATGCCGCCCTGTGCCCCGTGCTCTGGGTGTCCGTGCTGGAGCAGGGGGTTGGACTAAATGATCGCAAGAGGTCCTTCTCAGCCTCAATCATTCTGTGATTCTGTACAAATTTTGCCCATGTAATTGTTATCCATTTATGCATGGTTGTATTATTAACATTTAATCATTTGTCAGGATTTTGAAGGAACTTCAAAGGTGATACGCTGTGAAAAGAATATCTAAAATCACACCCAATTTTGGTTTATTCTGTGTATTTATTGTTGCCATTGTTAGCTGGAAGTTCCTTTGCCCACTGTACTCTCTCCATAATCTAATCTGTCCTATGGGGGCAGGCAGCAGTATATGAAGTGATTATAAGGATCTCCAAATGTCTTCAAGGATTTTCTGTACTTGGACTGTGAAAGGATTTTGGTCTGTTGTTGATAGAACAGGCACAATAAATCCCATTGTTATGGTTCCTAGAGCATAACCTATTAATAAGGAAACATTCTGAAGGCAAAGAATATGATCCAAATTCATCACAATTGGTCTTGGAAATTATTCTACACATTTTAAGTATGTTGTCTGACATCACAGTGGCTGCGGATTACATCTCGTTACTGCAAGTCATATATAGTTAGTTGTCCCATTATGGCTGCAGAATATCTATTTTTTTCTTTTTTCTGGTCATGATATCTTGTACTTAAAAGTACAGTGTGATGTGTTCTGCCGTGCTATGTCTTTTTATTAAATCATACCTGCACCTGCAGGCTTCTGCAGCTTTAAATACATCATTTTTTTTGAGTGGAACACATTTATCTTAGCTCTCTCTTGGAGGCCCCTGCCTAAATGTTGTCTCACTAATTCATTTTTCAAAAGATTTTGGATTGGAAATGTGCAAGCTGCGTTTTGCACTTTCAAATATTTGAGATATTAAAAACCAACAAGAGATCATACTGCTAATGACAGCTCGCTGCTCCTGCAGCCGACTTGYACATTCACGCATCTTCCTTTTCTGCTGCAAAGCGTGCAGCCCTTGGGGCCTGTAATAGCTGCAGATTGTTGGTGTGGAGAGTTGGTAACTACTGTGGAATCTTGCAGGTTTGTTCCTTATTAAACTGGTGCTCCATTAAGCTAAGCCTCACACTTCACTTACCCAGTTGCTTTTCAGCCATCAGTTGCTTGGCAGATCGAGTTTGTGTCCTTTCCTCTGCCATCAAGCCCTCTGGCTGCCCTAATGTAGCCTGTTCGTTCAGCTGATTCCCAGCTTGTTTATTATGGACCCCATCCAACACCTAGTGAAGGTAATGCAACCCTCAGCGGCCACTATAAAACAGGGACTTCTTTCCCTCTTTCAGTGGATTGAGAACTTGCACTCTTTAAAAATTGTTAGAATGTTCTTGTCAGGGTATAGAGAGGAGAGGGAATAGAGATATTTACCTTTGAGGTGGCACTTTCCCCCTTACAGGTGTTCTGGAGACACTTTGGGAAGAAAAGGCATCTTTCAGACTAAATCATTCATCCTGAAATAAACCCTGAAATAATCAGGGGATGCCCTGCAGGCAGTACTTCCCACCCCTTTGGACTCCTCCCTTGTGTGCCAGAGTCTATTCTCTATGCAATAAGCTTAGACTAGATTTCTAACTTCTAGAGAGTCATCTGTGGATCCTATGGAGACTTAGATATATTTAAGTTGGATACCCCTTGAGAGAAAAAAAAAAAAAAAAGACTTTGGTGGCTCTGTTACAAAACGTATGAGATTAAGGAGGTGACCCTCAAGCTGCCTTGGGAGTTCAAATTCACTTTGGGGAGAAGTGATGTTCACTGTAACAGACAATTAGTTGGAGGAGCCTCAATTTGTTCTTTCCAGTGCCAAATAGAAAAGACAGCAATTAGCTAGAAATTATAGTACACTTTTCACTGGTTGTTGATGTCATTTAATGATACCATTTTATTCTTCATTATTTGAAGATATTATCTTGACCTGGAAAGGCTATCCCATTGAATGTTCATTAGCCACTCCAGAAATTATTCATAAATTGATCTCCACGGCACAAAGACTCCATTCTGACAACAGTGTTGGAGTCTTGTATGAATTATTTCACAATTCCACTGAAGTTATCCATACATCAGGTTTTACTGATGACTATCTTTCACGTGATAAAACTCTCAGGCAGGTTTCTGTTATTAAAGAAGAATGGCTTCCCATAATACAGGGACAATGTTAAACTTTCAGTAAAACTAATGATGTTGTTCTTCAGAGCCAACACTCTCAGGCTTTGAACCTTAAAACCCAAAGGGCATCAATCCTTAATAAATCTGCTTAAATGTAGCAACATGCCTTAAATAAAATATAATTAAAATGATTTAATTGAAACACTGGAGATAAAAGCGGAATATAGGAATACTTCTTGGTAGTAAATTTAAAAGAAATGAATTTCCAGCTGTATACATCCTTTTTTTTTTCTTTTGGTAAGTAGTATTTTCAAAGAACCTTGGCCACCCAGCTTACTACTTTTTAGAAGCTTCTGGCTATAGAGAGAATTAAAAAATACATTTATGGTTTGCGGGGGTGGAATTTACCACTGGCAACTTTTCAGACTTTATCCAAATCTGAAGTAAAATGGAAATTATATCATGCTGAGCAAAGGAGACATCTTACAAGTTAGACTGTTGCTCTGACTTTGGTTACAGAGATATATCTAGAAGAGCTCCAACGCTCCTGATTTCTGTATGCCTATTCTGGAGCAAAACTGAGGTAAAAATGATCCTTTGTCATGCACGGGATTCCAGCAGAGATGCAAAAATATGCAGCTCATCCAAGCCAGCTCCATTGGACAAGTGGATGACGAGGAAGGATATAGGCTGTGTCGTAACACACAACTACTGGCCAGCCTACACCCAGTCATGTTCTTTGCTTACTCTGTGATTTAAAAGGTAAAGCAAGAGGGCAAGAAATTCAATGTAATTACTATACTCCAGACTGTGAAAAGACAGTATAATCAACATGTTTGTCTGGTTCATTTTTTCAGGGTATACATGTAGTAGTGGACGCTGCTCAAACTTTAAATTAATTCCCTGGGACTGACTGTCATCAGGAAACTCAGAATCCAACACGTTGTTCTTCTAAAGTTTCCAAGCTAATAATTATCGTTAATAATAAATAATAATAGTAATAATTTATGTGTTTTTCCTCTGCAGATTATATTTTGACACCATGGGAAAACAAAACAGCAAGCTACGCCCTGAAGTCATGCAAGATTTGCTAGAAAGCACAGACTTTACAGAGCACGAGATCCAGGAATGGTACAAAGGCTTCTTGAGAGACTGTCCAAGCGGACACTTATCTATGGAGGAGTTTAAAAAAATATATGGGAACTTTTTCCCTTACGGGGACGCTTCTAAATTTGCGGAACATGTATTCCGCACCTTTGACGCTAATGGAGATGGAACAATAGACTTCAGAGAATTCATCATAGCCTTGAGCGTAACATCGAGAGGGAAACTGGAGCAAAAGCTGAAGTGGGCTTTCAGCATGTATGACCTTGACGGCAACGGCTACATCAGTAAGTCAGAGATGCTGGAAATCGTGCAGGTATGTTCTGCTCAGAGGCACCCTTCCACTTCTCTCATTTCAAACAAATTGTGAAGCAACGTCACAATAAGGTACTGAATGAGAAAATCTTACAGCATTTGAGGGCTTATGCTCTCGGATCTCAGTATATTTGCTTTAATGTAAAATGCTATTTCACTGGGCGAAGATCTTATCCCAATCCAAACTCAAGCACTTGACATCCAGCGACGTTGTCCTGAGCATCACGTTTGCATGGCAGCTGCTTTGGGAGTTCTGCAGCACAACTAACGTGCTGATCAATGTAATTTTGTCCTCTAGGAAGACCTGGCTTGTCAGTTAATTACAACTGTCCTGAGTAGGTATCTCAGATCAACCAATTTAGGTAGTGTACTTCTAAGGAAGCCAGTTTCCCTCCACAATAGAAAACAAATCTACTTTGAAATTATGTTGTTATGAAGACCCAGCTCATTTATTTTTAAAAGTTGTCTGTCCAAATCAAACACAGTCTGCATGCTTCATATCATATTAGCTATCTTCGTATTAGGTTGCCACTACAGATCAACCTTAACTGGGTATATCATGATTCCAAACACAGTTACCCTGAATGCATTTTCTTGTGTTTCTAGTAGAAGTTCCACCTCATTTTGTCTTTCTCTAACATGTCTTCACCTTTAAGGCACATCACACTCCTGAAAGCTTTAAAGCATTTTTTGTTCTGTAGTATATTWATATAGCTTGAATCTGTGCAATGCAGTTCTGTTAAAAGCAAAACCAAAGCTGTTTTCAGGATCCTTTATTTCACTAGAAATGTGGAAGTGCTAAATATGTACTGTATTGTTCAGGTTTATACTTGTGCTAGAAATTGACTGAAAGAAGTTTCCATAAAATATAATCTGTGATGGCAAACCGCATCTTTAGAATCATTCTAATGCATGGACCCTTGTCTTTCTACCAGGACCCTTTTAATGTCCTCCAGGCAGTAGCAACCGTTAGTGATTTCAGTTTCAGCAAGACCAGAGACAAGGCTCAGCTGGAAATGTAGGGACTTTTTTACCTTTTGTATTCCCAAATATTTTTTTTGTTCTTGTATATGAGTGAATAAGCAGCCTCAGACGTCTCCCTGCCTCAGTGTCATGGTAAACTCCCCTCTTTGAATTAGAAGGTACTGCACTCCTCACAAATCTGTCACTCTCCTCAGCAGGGTAAACAGGCTGTGTGTTACTGGTTTTCCCAAACTGTATTGCTCCTCAGGAAAAAACTAAAGAGAATTCCCAAAGAGCTGGCAGAGCACGAAGCAAAAACAAGGGAGTCAACCCAAGCGAGTCTGTTCCTCAGCATGAAAGAGGCCCCCAGGACCACGAGGCCCCCCATGGCTGTCAGTTAGTCAGGGAAGGACTAAGTGCTGAGCATCAGTATAAACTCCAGAGATCAAAAGACTTGCAGACATGGAGAACAAGGCCACAACTGTGTTCATGTCAAATCTAATTAAAATATTGATGGCTGGATTCTCTGTGATGATCCAAGCAAGCAAATATGGTTGTTTTCATTTGCTGTGATTATGTGCATCAGCTTGATCACATGCTGACCTGTTCTGCCTCCCATTCCCAGCCCTGTAGATTCCAACTACAACATCATTCTTTATGGCCAAGATGCCATCATGAAATGAGGGTGCTGTTTAGGTATCAGTGCAGGGCTATATTTTGTTAATTTGGGACACATGATGGAAGCAATCTTTTTGTTAATGTTTCTGAAACTGCATTCTTTGCAGCCAAAACGGAAAAAGAATCAGGTGGAGACGTGTCACATGGGGCCATGTGAGCTGTTGCACACATGCACACATAGTTTTCAGTCTGGCCCTCCAGCCCCATTGCCCTTTCTTCTCCCTTGCTGTGCAGCTGCAGCCCCTGAGAGCTGTGGCTACATCCAGGATGCATGGTAGGCACAGGTTGCTCTCTAGCCCTCTTTTCTAGCATTGCATTTCTGGAGGTTTAGCACGCTCCTCCTTTTAAAAGTTTGCCTTCTCTCATGTAGCCCATCTAGAATTTTGAAGGACCATATAAAAATTGATTATGGATATTAACAGGCTCACACACCTGAACAGCAGTCACTTCTGCACCACAGACCATCACTCGAGACAGAAGAGCTGCCCTTTCTGCAATTGAGTTTCCCGTGAAGCAACTGGCCTGTAGGTCTCTGCCTTTTCTTGTGGATTTAATGGTCTGCTCCTCCTTTATTGCACTTCCCACCTATAGCTCCTCCTGGCTGAGTCGTTTTTCTCGTAGAGCAGAAGCAAGTTTGGTTGATATAATGAAATAAAAGTAAATAAACAGATATTGTTGCTTTATTTAGCGGTTCCCTTGATGTACTGTGATCAGATGGATTTAAAAACAGCTTTGCACTTACCAAGGATTATTTTTGAATATGAAAAGAAAGGATTCTGTCTCAACTATGTTTGGGGGGCCCCCAATCACAATCTTTTTCACAATCTTTCCAATAGTGAAAAATAGAACTTTGCTGTATCTCTGATATAGGTCTCACAGGAAGCTATTGAAAGTCCCTTATCTGCCATACATTTGCATGTTGATATAGTAGGATTTATAAAGTTTTCATCAAGATTTTTGCATCAGAATGAATGCTAAAAGAAATACTATAAATTTTAAACAGCTTCACTGAAAAATGCTGCCCCTATTATTATTCCACAGTGCCCCTGGGATCACTATATCTGAAAGAAAGAAAAAAAATCTCATAGAGGCGAGACAAGAATTTCTTGTTTTTCAGGCTGCATTTCTTTGTACTTTCAAAGTCATTTCTCTGTAGTCCTTCTCCGTGTCACATTGACGGCTACTTGCATTTCCTCTCTCGTGCTCCGGTCTCACGTAGCATTGCTGCTGGCAAAGAAGGCTTTGCTCTCCTTCACAACATCACAAGGTGACTGCTGGTTACAGCGGTAACGGCAGCTCTGAAACCACAGAGCTACTGGGTTAAGATGAGGGAGGGGGATTCCTAGGAACAGCACAAAATAAGAGCTTAAGGCTTTGTAGACAGCATCAGAAGCTGTTTGCAGCCTGTTCTGGGAGATCATCACTCCCTCCTACTGCCAGTTAAATGACAGTTTTAGCTCCAGTACCAGCCAACAGACCCTGGGCCAGGATCCTCTTCCATAGCAGAGCTTCAGGCTGCTGGATTGATGAGCGCAGTGTGCAGCAGCTCACYGGTCCGTCCAAGAGCACCTGGGCAGCCCACCATGTCAGCACAGGCCRTGCATGGCAGCGTGGAGGACTCCTTCCTCCATCATCCAAGGGTACGTCAGCATTCCCCTGACACAGGAGCCTTCTGCCAGCTGCTAGGCGGAAGACCATGAATGGTCAAGAGCAGCTTTTTGAAGCCCCATTTCCCTGCAAAATGGCTGAGTGGGCAAAGCATCTTGACTCTTTTAAGCTCTGTTTACTATAGTATTGTTTACCACATACTTGTTGCCTGTGACAGACTCATCATCCAAAGGGCTTTCACATGTCCTTCCCCAAGGCAAGCCTCCCCAGAGCTCTGCTTAGAGAAGTACATGAACCACATGTATGGACCTGGCAGCACAGTCTGGAAGACTGCATAACATGAGGAGTATTAGTGATGGGCTCACTGTTGTCCCTCACAGAGCTTAATAAAAGAAAGTCCATGGGATAATGTTAGACCTACCAGGCACAGCCCATCTGCAAAGTACTGGGGGAAGAATCTGTGTAGCCTGCCTTCCTAACAGACCTTGCCCCAGATCTTCTCAGATGGCTCTCCTCTAGAAATGCTTTCCATGTCTCTCATCTGTTTATCCATAATCTAAACAGCCCGGGCAACTCAAAAATAGCTGAGAACTAGCCACAAGATTTGTGTTCTTTCCCTTTGCTGAAGTGGGACATATTTGGCAAGATTTTTTTTAAGAGTTAAAATAAGAGATGGAACCTTGTGTTAAGGCTACATTTTAGTATAATGTGGAATCATGAGGCACCTTAAGAACACTGAGAGAAGAGATGAGAATAGCAGTCTCAGTTTAATACTAACACAACATACCCACTTTCTTTCACTGGGCTAACATTTTAAGTAAGGAAGAGGCAGAAACTGAGATGGCTCTCAGAAATGACAGTATCAAAAACCCCATTAGGTGGAGAGGAGAGCAATTTTTTTATGCCAGTTATTCTCTTCATGAGACCATTTTATCTGACAAGATTCTTCCATTTCATTAGAGTAAAAAGGATTGCCTCAAAAATTGTGCAGTCATCATTGCCATCACCGCAAGTAGCTCTTTGATATTTTGCCAAGTATATCAAGAAAGTGCATAAAGGTTTCTGGACCAAGTTCAGCAGTGATGGACAGAGTGGCATGAATTCCATGCTGGACAGCAGCTGGAAGCAAAACAGGTGTGAATGGGTGCAAAGGGCTGAAATTTGCACTAAATCACCTGTTGCCATTCATCCAAATGTTGGTGAAAAAGCAAAGGAAAGAGCATAGCAGCTAATCAGCCTTTTGTAGATGAAGACCCCCGTCTGTGTTGGCTTCAATGACATACAGAGGTGTCCTAAGACATAGTTTCTTCATGACATTGAGGGATCTCAGCTAACTGTAGGAGCTGTAACAGGCCCTCCTAATCAAAGCCTACCTGAAAAGGCTGCCCTAACTCATGGTGACTGCTGATGACCTGCTCCAAACCTTCTCCGGCTTGAGCCACCAATGACTTTGCACTCAAGGGCTGTGAGGCCAAGGAGTTCTGCACCATGCASAATGGAGAAGGCCTCTGCTGCCTTTCATTCCCAGGTCATACAGGCCACCATTAACCAGTTTCAAGCAGTTCCATGTTGTTATTGCATGAAACCTGCTCCCTTTGAAAGCTTTCTCTTTCAAAGACATAATAAAGAACTTAGTGTAACTGCACTGAATTAATATGGGGCAAGTCCAAAGTTTTCAATCAGCTCTAGCTGGCTTTTACTTAGGGAAAACTTCCCACTGCATTTCTGAGTAAGACCATAAGAATTTGTCCAGAGTAACCATTTTCAGTATGAAAAGAACGTTTACTATGTTATTCCCATCTGGCTTTCCTAGAATATCTCATCTGTTATTCCCTTCACACGCCTCTGTGAAAAGGACCCTGTAGGATGAAGTCATGTTGAAACAATTTTTTTTTGTCCTGAAAATCTGCATATTCTTACTATGGTTACTTTGATCAGAGCAAACATGACTGCACTCACAGTCCATTGCATTCCTCCCACACTTTCAATACAGATTTTCTGCAAAAATCTTTCTCTCTCTCACCCAGAGTGAGGGAATGACCCTTCTACCCTTCCTCCTCTCCCACACAAAAGCCTGACATGACAGGCTTAAACACTGGCAGATTTACAAGTCTTATCTCTACTCTGCCCCCTGCAAGTCTTGCCTGCTGACCAGGAAAACGCAGGTGTAAATTCTGACTGTCCATTCTCTCCTTTTTTAATTTTCCTTTCCCTATTCCCTTTCTCCCTGCCCCCAGTTCCCACATCCCTGAAGTTTATTTGCTTTTATATGCATTTCCTCTTCTTCTGGCTATCCAGTCAATGTTGTATGCACAGTGTCCATCTGTGTTAAGGGACTGCACAATTCTGCAGCATCCTAATTTTTTCCAGAGCCTTTGGGCACTCGCCACAGTACAAATCAGGATGATGATGATGCTTAAACAGGTGCCCATCGCTTTTCCCTTCAAACAGCAACTGTTCATGCTGAAATGGTCTCCTCTTTTCTTCTATTTGGTTCTACAACCAGCAATACAGAATTACCATAAGGCAGGCCAGGAAATCTGCGGCCACAGCATTACTGACAGAGCTGAGGGAGCAGATGTTTGGCTGCATTGAGCATAAGTGATGAATACTTAATGAAACAGACAAATGCATTTCTCAGGGTGTAATGCTTCCAGTTATTTAAAGGCTAGGAGATCTGAAAGGTGAGCCGGTTCTGCTGACAGAAGAGAAGCCAGTGAGATGGCTAAGGAGGTGGATGCTCAGGAGTGCGAGGGTAAAATGTCTGTGTTACCTAAGAGCAACCTCCAGCTGGTCAGTGTGTGTTGCCACGTGCCAGAAGCAGTGCCTTTGGGGACCAATGATTAGTACAGGCAAGGCAGGGTGTTTTCATGACTGGGAAAGCTGGAAATGCAGCAATCATGGGCCTCAAGGTTCCAGCCTCCCCAAGCAGGAGAAGCAAAAGCAGGGAAGAAAGAGCTGAGGTGTCTAGAGTGAGTTATCAACTGACTGCTGCAGACACTGTGTTGGGGAGGAGACATGAATTCGAACATGTGGAAGCAAACATTCCACATCTACAGACAGGGACTGGAGGGCAAGCTGGCTGCCCAGTGCGGTGCCAGTTAGCTAGAGCCTAATGAGCTGGAATGACGACCAGAAGGAGCTGGTCAGATGACAGCAATGTTGCCTGGGGCTAATATATCTGCCCCTCGAAATGGCTGAGAGGGTGCACCAAAGCCCCCACGCTGCAGTGTTCCGACTGCCTCTGCTGTGCCAGCTGATCTAGATGTTCTGCGTGGCTATGTGAAGGTATGTCCTCGGCAAAACACCAGGCTGCTTGTTCTGCACGCTGTCATTTGCAGGCAGTGTTTGGACAACCAGTTCAGAGACCATTACTCTCTCTTGTTTTAAAATTAACATCACCTCTCTTTTAAGTTTGAAGGGTGCATAATACCATACATGACTAATGGATTTGTCTGCACAAGGAATAGCTACAGGTGACACCAGCTTTATCAGGGATTAGAACATCTGCTCCCTCTGGAACAAATTATGAAGGTTTTTTTTTTAGTGTGTATACACAAAAATCCTGAAGGAAAAGGCTACCTTATTGCTGGTCAAGTCTTCACTATAGACATTGCAAAATTAGGGAGTGAGTCACTGTCCTTCCAGCAAGCAAAAGGTGGATGGAGGGAAAGCAAACATCAGGTAAGAGGAAGGCAAAGAGAAGATGGAGCCTGTGAAACCAGCTGATGGTCGCTGAAGCACAAAGTACAGTGCAGGGTAGGACAGGATCTTGGTTGTCTTACTGTTCTCCCAAGTAGTGTCAGCTGCGAGGACATGTGCTCCAGTGTGCTGTAGAAGTGATAAATTAATCTGAAGAATATTTTAATAAGGAAAAATGTAACCTCAGTCCAAACCCAGATTGTGTTCAGCAGTGACTAAATAAGGAAACACATTATTTCACAAATAAATATCTCACTGACAGGAGCAACTGTGTGTATTGGTGCCACCAGACTCCCATAGGGACTCCCATAGGGACTCCCATGGGGAGCTTGGGGGAGCAGATCTAGGCTGATGTTCCTGTGTTATTTTCTACTTATTTCTTTTGCCACAAAATAATCGTATTACTCCATTAGGACAATGTGTTTCTTACCATCTCTTTCATCCTGTCATACCCCATAGGCAATCTATAAGATGGTTTCTTCTGTAATGAAGATGCCAGAAGATGAGTCAACACCAGAGAAAAGGACAGAGAAGATCTTCCGCCAGATGGACACCAACCGTGACGGTAGGGCACTGAGGGGCCCGCGCCTGCCCAGGGAATAGGGAGGCACTTTGTGTGACRGAGGGAGCCCAGGGAGCCAGACACAACCTCCAGTGTCCATCCAAGTTCTGCTGGGATGGATGCGGTTGCCACAGGAGGAAGAAGAGGGCTGGCAGGGCAGGAGGACATGGAGCGGTGAAGAAGAGCAGGTCATGGCCAGGGCCGGGGCAGCCCCTGGAACAGCCACTCCATGGAGGGTTGTGCAAACAAAGCCATTAACAGGCTAAGGAAGGCAGGTGGTGGGGGGGGCTGTGGGAAACCTGGGAAAGGGCCTCCTTCCTCCATGCCCTTGCTGTACCACAGCCAGCAGGCTAAATGTTTACTTTCTTCCTCATGGCACTCGCTGAAGCAGCCCATGCTCCTGGGATTTCAAGCAGTCTTGAAACATTCATCAGCATGGGAGGCAAAGGAAAGCTTTAGATTACGCCCGCTAATTATACAGCTCCCCAGAAGCCTGCGTGCAAACCCACGGCCTTATCTCCCGCTTCACATTTCAGGCTCTCACTGGCTTTTYCCCCCCTCCTTTTTTTTTAAAGAAGGAAAATAAGCAGTGGCTGCTGCTCAGCGAGGGCAGCCGAACAGAGGTGAAATCATTTGYAGCTGGGCTACCCGTGCGAGGAGAGGACATATGTCCTTGAGCAATTGCAGTAGGCTGTTTTCTTTTCCAAAAATTGTGGTATCTTGTGAAAACTTTGTAGTAAGTGCCCCACACTTTCCACAGAGGAGCAAAGTAGCAGTTTGCTGGAGACCACATCTCTCACCCAAGGAGATGGTTGCTGAAGGCAAGTGAACAAACCCATCCTGCGCTCCTGCAGGGCAGCTTGTCTCCTCAGGGCCTTCCCTCAGTTCCCTCAGCTCACATGTGTGTCCTCATCCAAACCTCAGGACGTTACTGCAAGTCGGGAGATGCGGAAGGGGCCCCTTTGTGGAGAGGTTGCCTGCGGGATTGGCGGTGGCCACAACCGCGCGGTGGTGACCAGGTCGTCCCTCTGCCATAGCCCAAACCGAGGCCCTGTGGATCASCACCCATGGTGGGTGGCTCGGTGGGCGTGTGGTGGCGCCACAGGCACTCTGTGCAAACCAAGGTGTGCTTCTCTTCCAGGAAAGCTCTCCCTGGAGGAGTTCATCCGCGGCGCTAAGAGCGACCCGTCCATTGTCCGCCTCCTGCAGTGYGACCCCAGCAGTGCCGGGCAGTTCTGAACCCTTCTTTGGATGAATTATGTATCTGCTATTTTTTTTTCCTTGCCAAACAACATTCATGGTAGTGTTGCCTCTGTATGGCCAATTATGCCTTCTTTTGTGGCATCTTATAGCTTCTTTTGTTGTGAATTAATTATAAGAATGCTGAATTGCTCTTAATGACTTGTCCAGAGCACGGGCAGTACTGTTTTAAACAGATATTGTGGTGTTATCATTGTTTTAAAGATTTTATTTTGTTTTTTGTTTGTTTGTTTGAACATGTCTGTTTTGGAAAGCATGCAAAGAGAAGGAAAAGAAAAACAACACAACCCTAAACAGCAAAACTTACAGATTTTAGATGGCTGCTCTAGTAGCTGAACAGTCACCTGCAGGACATGGAAGTGTATTCGAGATTGAAGCAGAAAGGTTCTGATGTCAGGGGTAGAGGCCATCGGCACCTCTGTTTCCTCCCCAGGAGGCACTGGTTAAGCTCAAAGATAGGATCACGAAGTGCACGTGAGCAAAGCTGGTGAGGACTAGACTGCCCGCATCCCTGCTCCCCATGCCTCGTTGTTTCAATGCTGTGAACATTTTCAAGGTTGTGAAGGAGAAGGAAGAGAACAAAGGTCAATGGTCTTAATAGGTTTGCAATGATTTCATCTGACTTTGTTGGAAAATTCAGTAATTTGCAGTCCTGATCTCCAAACCCACAACAGACAATACCTCTTGCCATTTGGGTTCAGCAAAGGCAGACATGGATATTGCAAATCGGGTCTTGACAGTGAATTTAAGGGAGATACATGTTGAATGTGAAATGTTCAGGTTAGTAATAAAGCAGTTTCTACTAAGGAGAGTGGACATTTAACTGAACAGATAATAAAACACCTTGAAGGAAGCTAAGCCAGAGGCAAATCTGCTGTTCTGAATGCTCATGTGTAGTATAAAGTTCAGGAGGTGGTTTTCTCTCTCCGTGTAGTTAATGCAGTTTTTCAGCCTGCTCTTAGAGGGAGGCTATCATCAAAACTTGTTTTAAGCATAAAATTGTAGCATTAATATTTCATTTATTTAGTAAAGTTCAAAAATCTGTACTGAAACAAGGAAATGGTACGCTTTGTGGTATATTTATATATATAAACATTAAAACAAACAAAAAAATCAGCTCTGAGAGAAATGTTGAATGTTTATCTTTTCGCCTAGATGCAGGACTTCTGAAATTTGCTGCTGCAAAATGTTACCCTCTGGTCAGAGATGCTGTATTCAACGCTAGTATGCATACATGGCATTGCTTAGTGGCTTTGCAAGCACTGCTGCAACCAAAAAGCTTTAGCGACAGGAGGCATTATGCTGACTAAATTGGAGTTAATCTGTCGTTAGCTAAAGTCTGCTCTGTGATCCTGTTGGTGAGGTATCCGTGTAGGCAGCGCACAGTGTTGGGAACTGGTGAGCTCGTTAGGGTAGCCTCTGTTTGAGCAGCAAGGTTGGCACTGTGTCAAGTGACCTTGTAGATGCTAATCCTCAAGTAGCCTTAATTTAAAATAAACTAAGTAAAATAAGTCTCCTTGCAGATGAGGATTAGCTAAATGCTAATTAGAACTCACGGAAAAGTAGCTGAGTTATGATTTTTTTTTTCTTTTTGTTGAACACGAGCTAGCATGCACAATGTCAAGGGGTAGAATATCCTGGACTTATTTTTTTTTCAATACCATTTGATTTTCCAGGTTTAATATAAAAAGCAAAGTACATCTTTGATTTAATAAAATTCATAATCAGTTGTACTAAAAGTTTTATCAGTTGCTAAGCACACTTGATGAGTACTTTCAGGCACACATCTTTGTCTCAAATGATCGAAGAGGGCCAACTGATGGCATATTTTAATGAATGCCTACATTTGGCATAATTTAATGAATTCCTACATTCATTAAAATACTAGGCAGAGGTATCTGGGTATCTGTGAAAGTGAGAAAGTAAAAGAGGCCCCAGAACAGATACACGTACACAAACAGTTTTCAACATTAGTGCTGGTAGGTGTTACAAACATCACTGGCAAATTTTGCATCAGTTCTTCTAGTTGATGGAGATGCTCCTTATTTATTCCTTCCTAACTTTCATTAGCCATCCTGTGAGCAAATCCATTCCTTCAAAGAAAAGCCCATGCCTACCTTCCTCAAGATAATTTTCATTTTACCTAGCCAGGTTCTATGTCCCTCACCTCATGTGTAGTCAAAGCCGTGTTCTTCCCTCTTTTGTGCTTCAAGGATTGTTTTTTCAGTAGGACAAACCTGACTAGATTGCTGCAAATTGCTCTGTGGAGGTCAGTGAATGTACACTAATTAACAAACAACCACTTCATCAGATGTAGACAACCAGCTCAGCTGCACCAGCCCTTCCTGGGATGCTCCATTCCCACCTCTATTCAGGGAGAATTTAAGTTATGTCTTAGTGAAATTCTCAAGACTACCAAAAAACACTGAAATTCCAATCTTCCAAACTCTGGGTCCAGTGCAGGCCTCTCACCAAAAGCAGCTCTGTGAGAGCTGACACTTGCTGAAGATGAATTCGCATATCTTCTATAGTTCCATCTTTTTTTCTTCTTCTTTTTTTTATATTGTGGAAATAGCTGCATTTATTTGAAAATATTAAAATACTGTCTTTTTTTAAAGTAACTGCATTCCATCTCTTTTTAGTTTTACAAGATATTTCTGGCACAGGACCTAATCTCTCAGTTTGTTTTAGCCCAGTAGTTCGGGGCTTTTGAGGCCAGACTTGCCTCATGTGTTAATACTTCACAACCTATGTTTGAAARCACAACCTGTGATATGACCCCGGGCCAGTGGGGATGTAATTCTTTCCACAGTTCACAAAATCTGGAATAAGAATCAGCCTACAGCTGCAGAGGACATAACTGGAGATAAGAATATTGTATAAACATTTACAGAGYGAGCTAAAGTTATTCTTTACCTGACTATCACTGATGATTGGTATTGTTTTAAATTATTAACTGTCCCTTTCTATCTCGGCATGTACTTTTAAAGTGACCCATAACTTAATTTGTTATATGAGCATCTGCAGAGCTTGGATCAGCAAAACAGTAGTGGTATGCCCTGTGTTGGATTAGAATTTACTGTTCTGCTACTGTTATMATTTACAGTCATAATAGCCTTCATAAATCTTTTGAAAACAGATGACTTCTCCTGTATAAAATAACACGGCAAGTTAAACATTTTCAAGAGATCTATTAGAAATACTCCTGCACACGAAAGACGGCAGGGAGTACATGCTGTTTCCCATCATCTCTGAAAGCCGTAGATCCAGGAATACTTGCATATGCAAGAGGTAACCTTGATTCATGTGTTACCCAAATAAAAAAAAATAGTATGTTCAGCATGTAGACTTAAATTGTTAGAAATGACACTCTATTTACCCAGTATTCCCAGTAAACCTACCAGGCTGATCTAGATTCTGGGCCAGAAGATGTGAAGTGAGGACTATGGTTGTGCTATCTGCAGCAGCCTGCCAGTCTTGGTTTTATTGTGCTGAAGACTGGAAACAGGGAATACAACCTCTGCAAAACCAGCGTGTATGATGAGCTTCTATGAGCATGTAGGGTTTGGGAAGGACTGAGGATTGATAGATACCTCAGCATTACTTGAGACCCTGTGTTCATGGTAATGAGCATTCCTGAGGTAAAGAGTTGTGCTCTTCCTCTCGCTCTGCATAGGCATTTGTAGGCTTTTTACCTAACTGCTGAAGCAGTTCATCCTTCACTGTCCTCTGTTACATGATCTCCACTTTTTCTAGATACTGCTGCTGAAAACAACAAGTTGTCAGAGCACAACTTCTATAGGTGGAAGAGATCTAAATGCAGTAGTGTGTAGTACACAAGTGTTCACACATCACCAAGTCGCCACTGCTTCATAAATCTTCCCACCCATGAGCTGTGCCACAGAAATTTTCTGTATATGCTCCTTGAACATATGGCAAGCATGAAGTAACATGGCTTAGCTTAATTTCCTTTCACCCTAKATGAGGCTAAGCCGCATTACCTTGTGTTTGCTGGGGGCTGAAAGCACGCATGGACAGATACCACGGCTCAGMTGACTCATGGAAACTTGGTGAACTGTGGTAACTTGATCTTGAGTCCTAATCCGCAAACTAAGCCGAGGTGGGAACTTCGCTGTGGCTGTAGGTCTTCATGTGCATGTGAGCCGGGGGAMATGGTGACAGTGGCAGGCTCGTTGGGAGCACACGGTTGTGAGGAGGGAATCCCTCATGTCAGAACTAGTGCCCTAAACTGTAAGCAGTCTCCTCTTTGGTTTAGAAGTCTTGTTTTCAATAGCTCTGATGAAGATATAACATCATAGCAATGTAGCATGGGCAGGATGAAGGAGGCATCCTTGATGGTCCAAGGGTTTCCTTTCGAGGCCTGCTCTACTAATGTAGAAGTGGAGGCTCAGGCCAAGACCTCTTGCAGAATCTCACTGCATCAGCACCTCCTGTTGTCTTTCTAATGGAGCTTATTCGATTTTCTGTGATGAGATGGTCTTGGGCCCGGGAGTTAGGTATCAGGTGTAAGACCAGATGTGCAGAATGTTTTACAGGCACTTGCACAAGTATTTGGATGTGTTCTTTGCTCTCTGTCTTACTCAATATGTTCTCATGTAGCAGTCTGAAAATGGGAGAAGCTGGTTTCTTTGACATCACAGAGAGAAAATGTGCTCAGAAGCACAAAGAAATCTGGCAAGCATCAGAGARTTAGGCCAGGCTCAGAGCTGAGTGGCAGAGGTTTCCATTGACTGTGCACCAGAGAGAGAWGATCAAAAGCTGTGATAAACCAGACCCATGGTGTGATGTGAGACATAAAAATGGCACCTTTGAAGYGAGCAGCTCTGTGTTCTGTGCAACCAGGGTCAGGGAAAATACACTTTAAATTCTCATTTTTAGCATGAGTGTGCTGCTAGAAAACTTTGTCTCTTTTTACACGTAAACAACAGGGTTGTTCAGTGTGTCCCAGTGTGTCCCAGTCAAACAAGTGGGTGCCAGGAGGACCAGATGGCATTTCCTAAGCATAACTGATGGCAAAATTTTGCCTGCAGGAACTTTCCTCCTGGTCATTTTAGATAAGAAGGAAAAATTCTGTACGACTCTCAAAGCCTCCTACCATTTTCATCTGTAAATTGAGAATGTCTGATGACAGATGAGTGTGAGCCACTYACAACACAGAGCTGTATGTTGACTATTTTACAGCAACCTTTTAAAATAAGAGGAGGATGTTAGGTTTAGGAGAAGAGCTGTGCTTCATGCACATGGAGGGAAAAAAAAAAGCAGGGTTTATAAGCTATCATGGAAAGCAGTCATAGTTGAGACTGGCACCATTGTAGGATAGGTCTGGATGTAGTTGGATCACTCTGACACTCAGAAGAGTAGGTGATCTGCAAAGTGAATCTTCTAGTCCCTTCCAGAAACCACCTTTGGCTACTTCAGTGTCGCAGTTGGCAGCATCCCTTATTCTAGTTTGACTTCTGATTCTGTTGGTTCCAAATTATCCATAGTGAAATAGAGGTTGTTCTGAGCCTTGGAATTTTTGTAGTATAAGATGTACAAACTTTTCAAAATTACCCTGCATGTCTTGAGAAGTAATAGCCAGAAAGTGCAGATGTGAAGGATTTGGGGGGCAGGGGGAGATGCACAGATTTAATTTCCTCTTTGCTCCCACAGGTCATAGTGTTATTCTAACCTGTATAGTCGAGATTAATATATCACTTGTAAAATGCTGACTAATGCACAATAAACAAGGCAAAATTAAAAAGAGCTTGGGTTGTAGTGAACAATATGAAAAGGCTAGAGAAATGAAAAACTGGAAGTTGCATCACTGTATTTAGGCTGAGGTCTGAATTCACAAGGTGAAAGTTGCCTTTAGCAATAGTCAGTGCAGAATAGCTCCCTTGCACCACATCCCAATGACCAAATGTCCAAATGACTTCCTGGGCTGCTTTGCCCACACATATCACACCGGTCCCAGCAAAGTCACAATATGCTGTGGCTGGGAACTCCGTGTCCTTCCATGAAGCTTGTTGTTTGATTTCTCTTTAGTCCGCTGCACCCTTCCCAAGTCTTCAAGCATGCGACGGCCACTTCTCCGTTGTGCTCTCACTAGTTGGGTTAGATCTTCCCCCCTTGCGCTGTTGTTATACCAAAGAGGCTCTCACTTTCCCAGGGCAGACACTGAGGGTGTCAACCTCAATCAGAGGCTTTGCTCCTGTCTTCCACCAGCCATCCCTATGAATGAATAACTGACCCCTGTGGAGGAGCCAGGCTTGATGCTCTTGTGTGGACTAGCTTCTAACTTGGTTACCAACCTTTGCCCCTGGTGTGTACCTTGCCAACCACATACAATTATTAAGTAATGGTAGTATTAAGCATTTCAAGAACACATTAAACCTCTGGAGCAATGTGGTTTTCATTATCATACATGCATTTGTTGGTCCATCGCAACCTGAACCYGACCAGTGTTTGTTTTCCACTCCCATGGTTTATTCCATGGAGAACTGATTTCTTCCAGGCGGGAACAGTGTCTTCCGATGCGTCAACATTCAGTGTGCGGTGCCCTGGTGCTGCCTGGAGCATCCAGCTGCTTCGGTCAAGGAGACACTCCCGCTTAGCAGTGCCGGGCTGGTTCTCCTCCAACCATCTGTCAGAAGCATGTGGGAAGGGTTGGTCTGGCTTCCCCTGCCCTGGGCACGAGCCTTCCAGCAGTAGTCAGGGTTAGCCTCACATTCCCCCACTGAACTGCACGACAATGACTAGTGAACCCACCTGAGAAAATCCTCTTAAAGTCTAGGCTTTGTTTCTTCTGTTAATTGACAGCACACAGAGGGAGGATTAATGGATCCTGCACACTTATCTGGGAAAGAACTCGGAGTTCCCTGACACAACAACCTTTTTATCTCCTGTCATTAGCTTATTCCTGTTTCCAGGGCAGCCAAACAGTTTTTCTTAGTATCTGGAATAAGAAAAAAAAAAAAAAAAAAAAAAAAGAAAGAAACTGAAGTTTCTATTTTCTATTTGATAAAGATCTAAGGAAGCCTACTAAAGACACGATGCTTTGTATTAGTCATCTGAATGCTTTAGAAGATCATCTTTCATTGTTGKTTTTTTTTTCTTTTCTTCTTCTCCTTATCCATATTTTGGTTGTTTGGTACATTTTTGTTTTTGACTTTTCTTAGATTCAGTCCAGCTGGTCTTTTAGCTTATATGCTAGCGAAGTTTCAATGATCCCAAGAACAGATTTGCCTAAGCARCTGCTCCAGAGGTGGCCTCACTGTGCCTAGGAAAAATGAAGTGCTTCATTAAGACGGGGATCATATCTGTCTGCACATTCCTTGCAAGGGAAACTTCCATTACATTTCAATATGTTTATTTCTTCCTTTTGCTCACTTCAATTTCATCCAAGAGGACTTTTACATTTGACATTTGTACATTCAGCTCTATTTTGTGCTTGAAGAAGAGGTGAC